AAAAGAAAAAAAAAAAAAAAAAAAAGAAAAAGAAAAAGAAAAAGAAAAAGAAAAAGAAAAAACAACTCGTCATTGCTAATCACCACTGCAAGTACAACAGTGGCGCAGCTCAACAGAGTCGAAAGCTCCGAGTCGAAAAACGGGTTTGTAAACTCCGGGGTATCAGTACGTTATTGTAGCTAGGTGTATATTGGTTTACCTCCATCACTTCCTGCGTTTGGACCAGTGTCTCGATCAGGAGTGGGACCTCCCCGAACTAACCAATCAAAATCGTCCAGCCTTTCCTGTTTCCATGCGCAGAGAGTACCAGAGTTAAAATCACAGTCACCTTGTTGCAAAAGAGCAAGAGTGTTAGTTTTGGTACCTTTCTATTGACTTCCTTTCAATTGCTTTCTTATTTCTTCTGTATTTGCATATTAGTGGGTTACCTGTGTCCATACCTGGCCGAGAAAAACTAAACATCGTCAACAGGGGGCCCAAAATTAACCAACGAAAATACAGAAAGAGAAATGTTTGCGGAAAAGGGGAAAGTTATGGCACATTCAGCCAAAGATGAGCACCAAGTTTACCAAAAAGGGTTTCATATGAGACATATAACGCAATGAGCAGCGGGCACACACTATAATGGCCATTAAATACGGCCATTTTTGATTATTAGAGTAAACAGTCCGATTATCTTAGCTTTTTAAATAAAAGATCACACCACGCAGTTAAAATCGTGTCCCTAGTATACTTACCATTGAGGGAAGCAGGTTCACCGAGTTTCATTGATATCGCAACAAATAGCACGAGTAGAGTTGCTCCTTGGGGGGTTAATCGTGTAGTCATATCAACAGGGCAATCTTGTACCTAAAATTCAAGGTACAGCGATTTTCTTYAATCCGTGAAACAACGATGACTATTAGTCAGCACTAGTTCACCAAAGGGGTTCTATTGGGGAAATGAAAAGAAATTCGATTCTTTGCAACTGTCGGGCGAATTCTCGATTTTTACAGACAGTCGCTCTTAATAAATACGAGCTCACTCAGAGTTAGTTCAGTTGAAGTGTTATGTAGCAGTCGTCATTGTTCATTCAGAAGAGTGGTCGCCAGTTCAGTCCAGTCCAGTCCAGTCCAGTCCAGTCCAGTCCAATCTGGTCAGTTCAAAGTCCAACATCATGCAACATACTTGTAACCAAGCTGAAGTGAATAAATCCGTATCAAGAAGAAAGTTAAGTCTCTGTTCTTGAACAAGATCTGTGTCCGTAGGGAAAGTAACACTCCCCCAAGCATAGCCGGGTTCGGTCTTTAAGATAAACAAGCCTGTTGAGCGTAGAGCGTAGCCAACCCACACATTAACCATTAGACATTTTACGTAATACTGTAATGACGCACACAGGGGAAGAGAAAGTATTCGATGACGACACGATGACACGATAGATAATTGGATGTTGAAGGAATACAAAATAAACTATTCAAAGGCCTTTGGCCTAAAATCATCTATTAATGATCAATAAAGAATAGGATAAAGWTAAAATTACTTAACAAATTAGGAAAAAATTGAGAAATAAAAAAAATCTGATGAATTATTGTGATAAAATAATTTATCATAAATTGTACACATTACATTTGTCTGACTTTTTAAATAGGAAATTGAAAATCTTGTGCAATAGATATTAAATCAGTTGTATTGCTATTCCTTAGTGTTTGGAGATAAGATCTACTGTTACATAATTGTCGTAATTATTTTAGAATAATATTACAAAATGTATTGATTATTGAATCGTAACTACCCACCGTCTTGCATGAGCCGTGAACTATTTCAGTATATGCGTTTTTTTAGTTGGTGTTATTCCTAATGTTAACCGTTAAGTCTTGATAGCTAAAGATCACAGCACTGGCACTAGGTTAAAAAGAAGGATTTTTAACTGAAGTAGAGAGAAAACGAGCGATTTTGAGAATACTTCAAGCCATTAAAATGCATCAGCGTCGCCAAACACTTAGCTAAACTTCGGTGAACATTACGAAAAACAAAACAAAAACAAAAGACAAGCAATGAATAAAGGGGAAAAAATCAAATAAAAATTGTATATTCTTTACTAAGTATTAAAGTATTTAGTATTTATAATTCACTTACCTAAAAATGTTAAAACTTCGCTTGTAGCTTGTCGTCACTGCAATGTTTTATCCAACTCTCGAAGCTGTAAGTCTTTGAAACTAAGTCTGCCAGTGTACCAGTGTTTGTTAGTTATAAAAATCAAACAAAAATGGTGTATTTAAGTCAAAAAAATCAGCTCTATTGTATTTTAAATAAAGGTTTCTTCGTGTTAAAATTGAACCTTGATGAAACTTGGACGAAAGGCGGTTTTATCTATTCTAATTTTTGCCTCTTATAAACAGTGATGTCACAATAAGGACTGTTTACACTGTTCATGAGAACTAACCCATGACGAACATGCATTGATAATTTAAAGCTCAGTGGTTCATACGAATTCTTTCTATGAAAAACTATGAACGTCACTCAATCTTATTGTCTAGGTTATTATGTATAACCTTGACCTTTTTAAAACGGAATAATTTGGTGATATAATGATAAGAAAACGACCAGAATCGCACCGTTTTGTGTTGTAATGGCAATGCATGCAGCTGTTTATCTTCTACGGTTGAAATACGCCGAAAAAAACACCGACTTTTGAAAGTTCATTAGAAGTAAAAACTTATTTTAACACCTCTCTCTTTTTTAAATCTGAATTATAAAAATGAAAGAGACAAAGACAGAGGAACTTTTCTTGGGATGAAGTACATTGTTTTGAAAATCCCATTGGTTGCAGTCAGGATTCAATGATTATGTTACTTTACTTACTTTACTTTGATAGTTTTCAGTCAAAAATCAATACAGTTACAACTAAGGAAAACCTGTAAACAGGAAGATAGTTCCCTTAAAAGACGAGGCTCCCTTAAAAATGTATTGTCTCTGAATTGAGTGTCTGAATTAAGATAAAATTATAAGACGTTTCGGCTAATTTTTAATTCTGTACCTGCTTTTGTTGCTTCGTTTCTTCCTTGCCACTTTTGTTTTTTCTCTTATAAAAAATACGTAAGTATCGCTTTGTATTTGGGAGAATTATATTTAGTCCCTTGAGCAGCTAGACTAGGCTAGACTATGTAGACGAACGAACGCATATTGTATATTTAAGGTTTCACATCCGAGTTGAAATGGTGCGTGATCCAAGTACAACTGATATTCATAAAAAATAGTTTTGAAATAAGAGAAAATATTTTAATTAGAGGCTCAAGTGAACTGATTATTATTTCCCCAGGAAACTTGTCAATGCTCACTAAAATGAAAATGGCCGATGGATATCGAAATATTGCCTCCAATGAAGAGACACTTATAGGAATTAATATTTTCACCCAATCAGCTTTCAAGGTTTTGATATCGATCTCAGTTTAACGAGATTGCTTCCAAGATATTTTGTAGACATTTCAAAAATGTCTTCCGGACTCTGTCGCCCAAGTAGATCATATCCTGTACTTGGTTTTGATAACGATCTAAAACATTCATCGATAATCACATTCGCTAAAGGGTTTATTCTTGTTAATGGGGTTATAAACGTACAACATCATTGCCATGAATAACCACGATAATACCAAACATGCACCTGCGTATGGGCAGTAGAAGCAATAGTAGCATCAGCAATGATATCAATAGCATCAATGAACATGAAATAACAGAATTAACAACGTGACATCGTCGTTGTTGTCGAAAACTATGATACACTGCAACAACAACAACATTAGAGTTGCAAAAGTACAGCAGCAGCAGCAGCAGCAGCAGCAACATTTGAATTGAAACAACTATGGTGGCATCATCGTATTTCCTCAACAAATCATTACACAACGACAAAGCAGATGCAACAGCAGCAGTAGAAGCAAGAACGGTTGCATCATTGCACACTGTAGCAGTTAATTGGATGTAAGAATCTGCTAGGAGCGTGCAGCACACAAGCATTTTTTCGTACTAAACTCCCTTGAATTTTTCGAAAATATACTTAAATACACGCATGCGCAAACATTATATATTTTTATCACGTGACTTGGCCGCTGACCAAGCATAAATGTTTGATTAAACATCTGGAAGCGAAGATGGCGAGCTGTCTTCATCTGAGACCGCGCTGTTAAATGAAGGTACCAGGTAATAGTCTTTGTCGTTGTCCAGATTACTGAAGTCCAGGTATGGATTATCTTCCTGGAGAAGGTCTTCAAATTGTTGACGAAGGTCAGTGAACTTTGGACGCTCACTTGGGTTTTCTTGCCAACATTGTAACATTATTTGGTAACTTTGAACGAAAAAAAAAGGGAAAAAGTCAGAATGGCATGGCGGTAAACTAACGTTTGCCTCTCACTTCCAAAAGGAAAAGAAAAAGAGAAAGAAATAAGCTTCACAGATTTACTTGGCTTCCTTCCTTCCCGGACACATATAAATTAATCTGTTTTTCGTGATTGTCTGTTATGAGGCCGGTTTAGACGGTACGATTTTCGCCTACAACTATCGTATACAACACGCTCGCGCCATACTACAACTCGAGACGTAGCGTGTAAATCAAGCCTACAATTCGCCTACGACAGACGCGAGCATGTTCTATACGATAGTTGTAGGCGAAAATCGTACCGTCTAAACCGGCCTATAGGGGTTTTAATACTATCAAGATGCATGGCCTAAAAATGAGGTTCGCATTTCTCATTTAAGTTGTTCAGGCCCAGACCCCCCAAACCACCCCTAGATCCGCCCTTTACCTCTGCGTTTATAAATAATTAATTATAATACTTACATTTCATCTGAGCACATGTCAGGCTTTTCCATTCTATAGCCACTACGTAATTCTCTAAAGAGATCTTTATTAGACATGGAAGGATATGGTGCTCCTCCTTAGATCAAAATATGTGGTAAAAAATTCAATCCAAGTTTATAATAGTATGGAGAAAAATAACCGTACTGTATACACCAAAAGAACGAAAATGTTAGGGATGACTTACCTAACGTGGATATTTCCCACAACGTTATGCCGTACGACCATCTGAAAATTTAAACCGACTTTAGAAAATTTGCTACCATGGAACTACTATCCAAATGATCGAATCGCCATCGAGGAACAATGAATAAGAAACGTTAAGGAAATAAAGTGTTGAGACCTTTCTTCTGTCGCCTCGATCATCGATAGAAAACCAAAAGGTATCTTGGATTTTTGAGAAATAATTAAATGAGAAATCTCCCTTTTTAACTAATTTGTAGTACTTTATGATTTTTTTTTTAAAAATGAGAAAAAAAGAACTGCGCACAGTGCCAAATCGACGAAAACACGATGCATTATTGAACGCAATATCTATTCCTGTGCAGATTGTACTATTGCTGAAGTAGGATCGTTTTCTACTTTAGCAACATTGCGTGTAACGAATCGCGTCATGTGTCATGGCTCGCAWCATCAATTGACTGCAACATTGCGCGCAATGATCAGTACCCCGTGTGACTCTCCGTTGCCTATAAAGAACATTTCGCTCTGCAACTTGCAACGCACGTTATGCTGCGCGACAAACTGCACGATTCTGTCACTCATTGTTTTGCTGGCGTTTCATTTTCAGGTTGCAAAAAGCATAAGATTGGAAACAAATGTGAATTTTGGCACTTCGTGTCCTGACAGTTTTGTGGTATTCCGATACGAGGGTTGCACTTGCTTTCAATTCTCTAGCCATGTTTAATTTAGTTTGTAAAGGCTCAAAATAAACCAAACCGAAAGTGTCTCTCAAGAAGAAATTTATCTGATTGCTTATTTTAGATTATCAATGTAAATACGAACGTCATAGGAAAAAACAAGGATATCCCTGAAACCAAAATGTATAGCAAATGTCTTGAACATCACACACTTACACGTCACTCTCCGTTGTAAACACCTGATCATAAAGCGCTTCTGGTGACATCCATTTGATGGGTAGTCTCCGCTGTACACGAGCATGGTAGACGCTTTCCTCGTACAGGTCACGTGTTAATCCAAAGTCAGACACTTTGACTTGTTTGTTGTCAGCCACTAGGACATTACGTGCGGCGAGATCACGATGAACAAATCCTTTGCTGGAAAGATATTCCTGGAAATTCGTATAAGATGGTTGTGATTTAAACTTATATGGAATGGTGTACCAAACATCCATCCGTGCATCCGTGCATCCGTGCATCCGTGCATCCGTGCATCCGTGCATCCGTGCATNATCCGTGCATCCGTGCATCCGTGCATCCGTGCATCCGTGCATCCGTGCATCCGTGCATCCATCCATTATTTATATTTATCTCACCATGCCTGCTGCTATCTGGTAGGCAAAGGACAGCAGGTCTTTTGGCAGCAGACCATCGACTTCCTTCTTCACGTCCTCTGTCATTCTTGGAGCGTTTACATAGCGAGACTGCATCTATTGAAAGTAACAATAAATTCCTAAGAAAATACAAAATAACAAGATTATGCGTCCAGAGTTTCTCTCGGGGTCTTCCACTTTCCCACCTTTCCCGAAAAGAAACAAAAAAAAAAAAAAAAAAAAAAAACAAAAAAAAAAAAACGAAAAAAAAAAAATCAACTTTTAAATTTCAATTGAATTCGGTGGAACCGCTGTTAATCCCATTATTTTTTAACTTTTTTTACCTCTGTTTCAGGAGCAGCATTCAGGACAGCTTTCACGTGTAAATACGCAGGCGCAGTTGCTTTGCCCTCAAAACCGCTGACCTGTTAAACAGCAGATGGAAAACATTTTAAATATACCTCTTTACCCTGGGCGTAATGTTTTCCCATTTTAGACCACGTGTCTTTCTCTCGAGAATAAGATTCTTAGTTTGAGCTGTATCCATTTTCATGTGTCTTTTCATGTACAACCGTTAAACGAAAAAATGATACTCTACGGAATGACACGTGGTCTGAAATGGGCCCAAGGTAAAAGAGGCTTATTAATTTCGCCACATTTTGAGGATAGTTGCTTGTGATATATAACTAAAACCACTTACCCTATGTCTGTTAGTTCTCAAGTACTTTAGCAAATCTCCCTTCGGCAAGAACTCCACTACAAGAAAGTTTGGTTCACTCGTGGTACAGCAGAACAGAAAGTTGACGATATTCCGATGAGAACCAAGTTTCTTCATGAGGTTGATTTCTTTCAGGAGCTCTTGCTTTTCACCTGAATCTGCCGTATCTAAGGAAAGAAGAAATAAATGTGGAAAAATACTAGTACTAAAAAAAGCAATTCAGATCTACCCATGTAGCGGAGATTAGACACAGCGGAGTTCATTGTCTCATTACGCAATACAAAAACGACATACGCACCGTGCAACGTCTTGGCCGCGACTATAAGTTCATTCGTTCTTTCCCTAATTGGCTTGAAATATATCGTTTTTAGCTTTGCTTTTACTCTCTCCTCGTCTTCCGGTATCTTTAAGATTGCCTTGTACACTTTACCAAATGCTCCTTTTCCGAGTTCTTCCAGGAATATCACGTGCTTAGAATCCACTTCCCATTCATCTTTCATCTCGATGACTGGCTTTGGTTCGTCATCTTTCATCCTTTTTGGTCTGCTGTGAAATAGACCCCCTTCGCTCGGGCGTAATGTTTTCCCATTCGAGACCATTAAGAATAAAGGCGCGATTACACGGAGCAATTTTCTATGCAACTTGTGTCCTCGCAACAGCGTTGCGACACAAGTTGCATGAGTGTTTACACAATGCAACGGAGACGCAAACAATTGCTGCAGCTTGTCTCGCAATTTGATTTAGATTCTTTGTTCTTAAGTAACTTCAAGGAGAGCTTTTAATAAGATTATCCACCCCCCCCCCCACCCCTTGTAAAATACTGGGTCCATCCCTGAATACTGCTAGCTAAATAAAATAGAATACGCCTCTTCAGCTTCAGCGTGATGTTTTCTCATGCAAGACCCCGTGTCATTCTCTTGAGAACAAGATTCTTTGTTTGAGTTGCATCCATATTCAATGATACTCAAGAAAATGACACGAGGTCTGAAAGGAGAAATTGTTACACCCAAGGTAAAGGTGTTTCTTCACCAGAGTTTCGTGCTATGTGTACTTACTTTCTTCTCATATCTTCTGGATTACGATTCCTTCTTTTATATGGACTTAGAGCAAAAACCACCACGACACAGAAAACAAGAATGAAGATTCCAACACCAAGACCAGCTTTCGCGGCAGCATCGAGCTCTAAGAGAGGTAAATAATTTAAAGATTAACATCTCGAGCCTCGCTCTTTAACTAGTGTCCTACTTCGAACAGATTTGATATGATTTTGAAAAACGGACTTGCTGTGCCGTGCCGTGCCGTGCCGTGCCGTGCCGTGCCGTGCCGTGCCGTGCCGTGCCGGTAACAAGCATTTTGATTAGATAAACAATGATCTTGCGCGTTGTGATTGTTTTAAAGTATGTCTTCAACGCTGCAGGCGTGAGCTGTTTGAATGTTCTGCTCAGGAATTGCTACTGTGTTCGGAAATGCTCAAGGGAGAACCAAACTTTGCATGACTGCGCAACAACATTAAAAGAGCGGGAGACCTGTACTTACTTTTAGATTGGTCTTTGTCTGTGTTGGTTGTGTTGGGTGCGACGGTAGTTGAATTGACTTCAAATGTCGAAAACAAAAACAAACAAACAAAACCAGTAATATTAAGGAAAAAAAAACTTATTTACTCTGGAATAACTAGATCTCTAGCTTTTCTGATAAAAAGAGAAATACGTATAGCAGGAGCCCTGTACTTACTTTTAGATTGATCTTTGCTTGTGTTAGTTTTGTTGGGTCTGACGGTAGTTGAATTGACTTCAAATGTCGAAAACAAAACAAATAAACAAAAAAAGTAACATTAAAAGAAAAAAAAAAAAAAAACACAACAAGATCTGTAGCTTTTCTGATAAA